GGAGGAGAGGGATTTGCCTTGGCAAAGTTGCCCCAAGATCGTATTTGGTCGATGTTGATGGCTCCGTATTTCGCAGAAATCGGAAATTCCTATGTAGCTCAAGGGATAGTACTGCTGAAACTCCACCGGAAACCTCACCCTTGGCAGTGCCATCAGTCATTCAGTCGGATTTGGTCCCCGTGCAGCCATTGCAGCAACTACCACAGAGGAGCCACCTGTACCAGTCAGCCTACCAACTCCAGAAATAGCGCAACCCGTAAAGATAACAAGGAGCGGACGGATAAGCAAACCGCCAGTGAGACTCAACCTTTAGGTTCAGGATATGCAATGAATTACTGTTGACATTTAATTACTTATATATATATATTTTTTAAACTTAATGTTAGACAGTTTGATTATTATTTTTGGAAGGGAAGATGTTACGATATGTACGGGCTACTGTACCGGTAGCGCCCACGGTGTGGTGCGTCAGCGGAGATACGATATATAAACAACATTTACGAACATCTAGAGTCATTCGATTTAGACATTGTACGTTAGTTATATAAGAGATAATAAAGAGCAAAACATAAATAGGGTTATTTTAGTTTCATGATATACTGTCCCGCTAATCAATTCTTTGTTGTATTTACAGATATGGGGATAACGCGAGACTGACCGTGACAAATTTGGTCAGCCGTTTTTCACGAACGTACGAAGGTCCGCAGCGGATCTTCAACGACCTTGAGATGACGTTCAATGTAAATAGTTCAGTATTCTTTGGTGGTTTGCCTTCGAATGAAAAGGTAAGAGTTTTGGTGGTTGTTGGTGGGTAGTAGTTCAAAGCAACTGTATGAAAGAAGCTCTGTAATCACAGAGGTATTAACTTCAGTCTTGTTATTCACAGGCGAACTTCAGCGAGAGATATTTTGATGGGGACTTGGACAATCTTGTACTGAATGAGGACAGAGTGTCGTTGTGGGAACCGCTTGCAGTAGAAGGAGTTCGACGATATATTGCCAAGAGGTACCGTAGGAATAAACATTATACATAATTCAGTATCTCAATCCCAATCCACTACCGTGCAAAATGGTCTTGAAAAAGACCGTTCACATGGCGCTATCTAATTTAGGAGACATTCCCCTACAAAACAGGACCTAATTTTATTTGGTCTCGAATTAAAATGGTTAGCTGTGCCGGAATTCGTTCGATTTCATACGTGCCGAAGGCGAAATTGAGTACGGTCCCGAATTCATCCGGCCCCATTTGGAAGGGTCCTAAGTGAGCTAAGAAGAGTAAGAATAGAAGCTAATACACTGTAATAAATTAAGATGGCTTACAACACAAAAAAGTAGAATAGAATAGAATAGAATAGAATGGAATTGAATGGAATGGAATAGAGTGGAAGGGAAATAAAATAGAATGGAGTAGAGTGGAATAAAATGGGATAGAATGGAATGGAACGGAATGGATAAAGTGGAATGAATTGGGATAGAACTGAATGAAACGGAATAGAGCAAAATGGAGTAGAATGGAATAAAATGAATTAGAATAAAAATTACAAAAGAGGCAAGTAGATCCCATTCTAGCCGACAAAAACCGGACAAGGTAAAGTGATGAAGTAGAATGGGCCAGAATGAAGTAGGGTTAAATTAATGAAATCTTTTAATTCCAGAGTCTCGCAGGACACTTTTGGATTTTGTGATACTTTTCATGGCACTGGCTTCGTTAAACAACTGGCTGGAGAATTTTACACAAGAACAAACTCAAGTCTCTCTTTTCAATTTCGAACATTTTTCAAGAATGCTCTGATGGTCTTCGTCGAAGGGAGTAATAAGGTAAAGATTAACATACATTTTCAGTTTAGAGCCGATAGAGTTATGCTGTGTAAATAATAAATGGGTTTCTAGGAAGAACAGTTTAGAACTGGCGAAGTTGTACGGTATAGTTTACTTTAGGTTACCTCCCGTAGTAAGACTGGATCAATAAGAGATGATCCTTACTGGACCTCTAGGAAGAACAGTTTAGAACTGATAAAGCTATCCAGGATAAATGAAGTTGGTTTAGTTTAGGTTTCCTCCTGTAGTAACACTGGATCAATAAGAGATGATCCTTACTGGACCTCTACGGAGAACAGTTTAGAACTGATAGAGCTATCAAGTATATAAATGAAGTTGGTTTAGTTTAAGTTTCCTCTTGTAGTAACACCGGATCAATAAGAGATGATCCTTACTGGATCTCTGGGAAGAACAATTTAGAACTGATAGAGCTATCTAGTATAAATGAAGTTAGTTTAGTTTAGGTGTCCTCTTGTAGTAACACTGGAGCAATAACAGATGACCTTTACCGGACCTCTAGGCAGAAGAGTTTAGAGCTGATAGAACCGTTTGATATAGTTTAGGTTTTTCTGCTATGCCTAATTGATAACTCAAGTATTGAGCGCACAAGATGATTTTATTTGAAGTATATGTTTATGTTATGTTTTTTAAAGTTATCTGCTGGTAACATAGTTTAATGTAGGTTTCATTCTGTGTTAACATTGCACCTATAAGGATTAACCCCTATTATAGATCTCGACGAAGAACAGAACTAATATAGCTATCCAGCAGTAACAAAGCCAGTTTAGTTTTAACTTTCTCTTGCTCTTGCATAGGAATTTATCTACAGTGTGTCTCTGAACAACGGGCGTGTTATCTTTCACTACAATAACACAAGACTTGCTAGCGACAGGTCCGACTATGGCAACGGACAGTGGTATGATGTGCATATCACCAGAACCTTAAAGAACGCGTCACTTCACGTTACACCTCTGGGCACTGGGTCCAATGATTACGTCAACCAAAGCACGCGTTTGCCTGTATACTTGCCTGTAGCGCAATATGTGTATTTTGGAGGGACAAACGAAACTCGGTAAGACATACATGTATATCTTTCTTTCGTAGCAAAAGTGTGTTATACTGCTGAGTTAAGCATAATTAGGTTATGCAGAAGTAGTACATGTTTTGAATGTGAGCTACCTTAAAGTGATCTGATGTTGTACAGAACTCACTGCTGAGTTAAGCATGGTTAGATCATACAGAGGTAGTACATGTTCTTGAATGTGAGCTACCTTAAAGTGATCTGATGTAGTACAGAACTCACTGCTGAGTTAAACATGGTTAGATCATGCAGAGGTAGTACATGTTCTTGAATGTGAGCTACCTTAAAGTGATCTGATGTAGTACAGAACTCACTGCTGAGTTAAACATGGTTAGATCATGCAGAGGTAGTACATGTTCTTGAATGTGAGCTACCTTAAAGTGATCTGATGTAGTACAGAACTCACTGCTGAGTTAAACATGGTTAGATCATGCAGAGGTAGTACATGTTCTTGAATGTGAGCTACCTTAAAGTGATCTGATGTAGTACAGAACTCACTGCTGAGTTAAACATGGTTAGATCATGCAGAGGTAGTACATGTTCTTGAATGTGAGCTACCTTAAAGTGATCTGATGTAGTACAGAACTCACTGCTGAGTTAAACATGGTTAGATCATGCAGAGGTAGTACATGTTCTTGAATGTGAGCTACCTTAAAGTGATCTGATGTAGTACAGAACTCACTGCTGAGTTAAACATGGTTAGATCATGCAGAGGTAGTACATGTTCTTGAATGTGAGCTACCTTAAAGTGATCTGATGTAGTACAGAACTCACTGCTGAGTTAAACATGGTTAGATCATGCAGAGGTAGTACATGTTCTTGAATGTGAGCTACCTTAAAGTGATCTGATGTAGTACAGAACTCACTGCTGAGTTAAACATGGTTAGATCATGCAGAGGTAGTACATGTTCTTGAATGTGAGCTACCTTAAAGTGATCTGATGTAGTACAGAACTCACTGCTGAGTTAAACATGGTTAGATCATGCAGAGGTAGTACATGTTCTTGAATGTGAGCTACCTTAAGGTGATCTGATGTTGTACAGAACTCACTGCTGAGTTAAACATGGTTAGATCACGCAGAGGTAGTACATGTTCTTGAATGTGAGCTACCTTAAGTGATCTGATGTTGTACAGAACTCACTGCTGAGTTAAACATGGTTAGATCATACAGAGGTAGTACATGTTCTTGAATGTGAGCTACCTTAAAATGATCTGATGTTGTACAGAACTTACCGTTCAGTTAAGCATGGTTAGATCATGTAGAGGAAGTGACTCGTTGTTGTGACAGGGGCGGTTCCAGATAAAGGGTGACGCTCTTGAAAACTGTGAATGAGACTGATCCTCATTCCTCAATCATGGCAGTAAAATAAGTTACATAGTAACATGTATTCTTTCCAACAGAGATCGTTTTGCTGGCGGTATGAAATTGGTCTCTCTTCATTCTATTGTGCAAAATAAGCTGGTGCGAAGGAAACTAAATGATAAAAATTTTACGGTTGTGTCAAGTGGTGTTGCGTTTGACGAGTGTTTGGGACAGGTAAGCTCAATAATAAATCGAAACAATTGTAGCTAAATTTCGAGCCTGTGAAGTGAGTTTTCAATTTGAATTCGGAACCAAAAATTACTCACACAAAACTAAACTAAACCTAAACTAACTTTACTTATACCAGAAAGCGCTTTCAATTTCGGATTATTCTCTCTGGTGACCAAGTAAAGTCTGTTTACAAAGTTTCTGTGCAGTAGGAATTTTGCATAGGTCAATTCTACGTTTTGAAGGATTTCTAAGAAATGATTCATGGGACTATTAACACTGAATCAGTTCCTTCGAACATTTCATACAAATCCTTCAAAACTTAGAATTGATCTATGCAAAATTTCTACTGCACAGAAACTTTGATATTAATGTTCATGGGTAATTGGTCCAGTGTTTTCTCTGCATGTCTAGTGTAATCTGTGTCACTATTTTGTTCCCCAGGTTGAACAAGGTGTTAGTTATTCTAATGGTCACTCCGCAGTGAAAACTGAAAACATCACATCCATGACGTCATTGGCAATCAGATTCAAAACGAGCGAACCAAGTGGACTA